GAACGCGCCACGCGCCCGCCCCAGCCAGGGGCCCTGGCAGGTGCCAGCCCTGCACATCCTCCTGCCCTTCCACTTCCACCTTCTCTTCTGCCTCTGGGTATTTCAGGTGTTGAGGCTTTTTCCTTTCTTTTTTTTCACCTTCCTGTGGAAAACAGAGTCATCAAAATTCAGCGTGATTGTTTTTTCCTCCTTCTCAAGGCTCCTGACGTCACGCTCTGCGGCGGCTCTTCGGGCGCTGCCGGTTCCTGCCTGCCACGAAAGGCTCCAGCCGGCAGCGTCCGGGGCGAGGGAGGCAGCAAACTTCCCCCTCCACAGGCAGCCAGGGCTCCTCTTGCAACAAAGCCCAGACGAGTTTGCCCAGGAGCCACAGACCATTCGCTTTGGCTTTGATAGCCCAGAGCACGGACGGTCCACCCAGCTCTCTGGAAATCCCAGATGCTGCCACGTTTCTGAACCAGGCCCCAGCGTAAGGCAGGGAGGATGCTGGGCTGTGAGCCCTGCAGGCAGCTCTCCCTCCCCTGCTCCTCCTCGCCACGGGGAACACCGCACCTCGCTGCGCCTGCTCTGCAGGGGTGGGAGGCAACTGCCACAAAAAAGCCCACGGGGGCTTTCTGAGGTGTTTGCTTGCACTGTCAGTGCAGAGCACAAATTTCCACATTGGTCCCCATGTTTGACTGAGGAGGGAAGCCTGAAGCATTCTCATTTCCTTATGGCATTTTCCCTTATTACGCAACACCGGCGATGCAGTTCTGTGACTCGTTGCCATCCTTTTTAGCTGGTTCCCTGGACTCCATTCTGCCCTCTTCACCAAGAGACTGGCCTGAGGTCTCCTGGGCATACAGTCAGCTGGCCCCAAGGCCTGGGGTGTCTCTGAGCCATGGGGAAGGTGGGTTTTCTCTCCAGGATATGTGCCAAGGAAGCCTGGGATAAGGCAGCTCCCTCTTCCTCCACCTCAAGCAAGAGGAGGCTGCACCAGTGCACCAGCATGGGGATGGCAGCTGGCCCCAGGCACCTCCCCGTGCTGCCCACAGCCAGGGAGGGCCAGCAGCAGAAACACAGCTGCGGGGAGCAGATGGAGAAGCTCTTCTAAAACCAAAAACCACACAGTTACAATTTCAGTAGACAGCTTATTCAGGGGCTGTTTTTTAAAAAAAGCAAGAGCAGAGGAGTTCCCCCACAGCTTGTTTTGGTTGCTCTTTCTGTCTCTGTGGAAAGGTGCAGGGAGGCAGCATGAGGAAGTGGAGCAGGGAGCACACGGGCTGCAGCCCGAGCTGCCTTCACCACAGCCACACGCTGAGGCTGGTGGGACATGGGGAAGCCAACATAGACCAAAGCCTGCAAAGGGGAACAAAACCAGCGCCAGGGAAAGCCCCCCAAAGCCCCACAGGCACGGGGAAGACTTTCGCAGAGAAAACTTCGGGACTATCCCAGGGGATGCTGCGCCGAGCGGGGTTTGGAGGTGTTGCAGGGCTCCGGGCACAGAGGTGCCACCGCTGCTGATACCGCGGGGAC